CGGTCAGGTGGGAGTGGGGGGATCCTTCCTCAGAGAGCCCCTCGGTCAGGTGGGAGTGGGGGGATCCTTCCTCAGAGAGCCCCTCGGTCAGGTGGAAGAACCCTTCCTGAGACATGCAGTCTGAACCAAACAGTGATGTCATTGATGACTAGAGCCCATGTCCTTTCCTCACCCGGAGCCTCGGGTGTTTCCAGATGTGGTTAGGTAAGAATTCCAGAATGTGTGCAGTAAGACAGACAGGAAGGTCAGAGTCAGGAGCCCTCCAGAGGGGTCAAACCCAGTGGACACGGTGGGGACAGAGGGTGGGGCTGGGGCTGAGGTGCCTCTTTCCACACAGCCTGTCGGGCTGCCCTCGAGCCAAGAAAAGTGGCATCAAGATCACACCCACCAAGGACGACAAGGAGGACCCCGAGCTGATGAAGTGAGTGTGCTCAGGATGAGGGCTTCCTGAGCTTGGTCACCGCACAAGCTCCATCGAGCTGCCCTTTCCCTCCATGCCACTGGACACCATGTCAGCGGGTGGCGATACGAGTTCTAATAGCTGTCTGTGCTCTGCATGCTGACGCACTGCACCCAGGCCTCTCACACCTGGGCTGTAAGAGCAAGTCCGAGAGGTGGCCCCAAGCACTCACAGACCCCACGGGCTGCAGGAGCGGAAGGTCCCGCTCACGTACCTGTGAGGACACAGGCACACCAGTTCCTGAGGCAGAAAGACTAACTTGTCCTGCCCAGACAAGTATGACTGTCAGCCGGGGCTTGTACAACCGCAAGCCTGCTTTCTGGTTAGGAACCGTAAGTCCCCACCCTAAGGGAGTGAGGGAGGGAGAGGGAGCACTGCTGGCAGGTGGGGGCAAGACTGTGCCAGAAGCAAAAACAGGGTGCACAGGACTAGGGGTTTCTTGGGATGTGGGCCTGCAGTGCTGAGGCCGAGGGAGCCAGCCTACCCACAGGGTAGGAATAGGGTACCCAGCCAATGAGGTGGCTGCATGGCTTCCTCCAGGGTTTGGGGCCAGTGGTTCTCTCCTTGGGGCAGGCCCAGGCTCATGGAGGGCAGAAGCAGCCAGAGGCCTCACTCACCCTTGCCAGGGGCAAGCATTTGGCTGCTCTGGCTTCTTCTGGCCGTTAGCGGCTGCACCCTTGGGGGCAGCGCCGACAGCTGCCCACGCAGGAAGGCCAGGGCTTGTTTGCGTATATGTTTATTTCTTACTGTGAAGCGGTAATGAGCGTTAAATTACAACATGAAATGTTTGCTTGCTGGCATCGGAACAGTGCTGCTCCACGTGCGAGGGGGAGATGTTTTCCTCCAGAGAATCCAGGAATTTGCTTGTGATCATGTAAATGCAGGGTTGCTATGGATTTAGGAAGGATCCTGCTGGCAGGCATGTCATAGGGAATTGATGCATCTACAAATAATTAAAATCAGGATCAGCATCTTTAAGTTAACTTGCAAAAATGCTTTTCCTCTTTCTAATGTGCTGTCAATTTTGCCTTTTTTTTTTTTTTTTTTAAAGTAAGTACTCTTTAGCCAAGTGGAAAGTGTGGAGTATGTAGACAGGTCAGCTTTATCTGCACAGATAAGACCTGGCCCCCCTCGTGGAGGCTGTGGGGGTGCTTGCTACACACAGTGCCTCTGTTCTGTAGGGCTCAGCCATAAACTTCTACTGTGTTTAGAACTGACCCAAAGTTTCCAAGCTGTGTATCTTCACAGAAGCAGACTGCCTTTTCTTTCTCCCGTGGAGTGGAGTGGAGCGGCTGGTGGGTTCAAACCACCAACCTTGTGGTTAGCAGCCAACTTCCTTGACCCCTACACCACCAGGGCTCCTTTTTAGAAGTGACCAGCACCTTTAAATAAGTGCCGATGTGGCAGAAATGTGAGGCATTTCTTTGCTCAGTGATTTTGGAGGTGCTGGTGGAGGAGAACCCCTTTTTGTACGGCATCTCATGGCTGCACCAGTTTGAGATCAAGTTGCATCAGCACCTTCTGGTAAAGTTCCTTTGCCACAGCTTTATAACTGGTGATAAAAATCATACCCCATCTTGGAGAGCTGCCTGGGGAGCCTGCCCGGCTCACTGGGGAGCTCAGGTCACGGCCCCTGGCCCCAGCTCTGTATTCTCACGTTTGGACTGTGGAAGGTGAGAAGGCTGAGCTAAGGATGCAGGGGAAACACTCATAGGCAGTGGTACAAACACCCTCGGGGAGGATGGGGTCGGCTCCCAGAGGACAGGTCAATTGCCAGTGCGGCCGAGCCAAGGTGCTCTCTTGGGGTGTGGGCTCTGGCACTGGTTCCCTATAACAGACCTGCCTGGGGAGTAATATAGACCCCCAAAGACCTCTCATGGAACCCTGGCCTAGCCCTTTGCAGAGACCAGTGGGGAGGTGCCTCCACTCTGGATGGACAGCTGGACTGTCCCAGAGTGTCCGAGGCCATGGGCTCTGTGAGACCATGGGGGAAGGAGCTAGTGAGGGGCAGGGCTACAGAGGGCAGTTGCTACCAAAGGAGGAGCCAGGTTGGGCAAAGCAGGCCAAGGTAGGGGTGAAGCGAGGCCACTGAAGGGGCAGGGAGAGGCTAGGGAGGGGGCCCAGCAGGGGAGAGATGAGGCAGGGGTGGGGGCAGGTCCAGCAAGAGGCAGGGAGGGTTTGGCCCTGGGGGAGTGGGGAAGGGCGGTCAGAGCCTGGGAGATCCAGGGGAGCAGAGCGTCCACCTGCACAGGGACCTGGGAAGGGGTCAGCCGTCTTGGAGAAGAGGCCAGCGGTGGTGGGAGCACAAGGAGCAGCATCTGTGGAGATGACCCTGACACCCTGTCACCTGTGGGCTCTCCCAGCACATCTGACCCCACCCATGCCCACCACACACGGTGACCCTTGACCTCACCTTGTGCCCACTGAAGTGTCTGCGACAGGGTCCCAGGGCTGTGGGGCATGGGTGGTGCTGTGCTTGGAGCTACAAGCAGATGACAACTAGATGCCCTTGTCTGTGGGCATGAGACACCCAAGGGACTGGTCCTGGTTCTGAGTGATGGGGCCCAGAGCCTGGATCCTGGCTTGCCCTGTTGTCACCCTGCCCGTTCTATGGGGTTCAGGCCTGGAGTTGCTCTGAGCTCTTCTGAAGTTGCTCCTGTGCCTTTGCGGTTTTCTTAAGGGATTCTACCCCAACAGGCCAAGTCGACCTTGATCTTGACAAGCAGTGGGGAGGGTGTCCCCACTGAGTCTAAGTGCACTGAGGCCCTGTGCTCTTTCCTCCAGCACAGACAGATGATCGCCACAGTACCCGGGTGGGATGCACGTGTCATACCTGTGGTGATGAGCAGCCCTGTGGTCTCAGCTGGGCCCAGAATCCCACTGCTGGTGGCTCTAGGTTGGCTGCAGCACAGCCTCAGCCTGGTCAGAGGGCCTGACAGCCAGCTATAGACCTGCCTAGGAGCTGTGACCACTGGGGTGGGGTGCGAAGGCAGGTGCTACCCCTCTGCCCTGCAGGGCTGTGAGGTGGTGAGGCTGTGGGGAGAGGACCAAGCTCTGTGGTCTTCAGCTCCACTTGTGGTGGGAGTTGATCCAGGAGCCCCTGGTGGGTCTCAAAGTTGATGCTGACCTAGGAGGGTTGGGGTGTCGGTGCTTCTGTGGGTCCTGTGCCCTGGGCTCACCTCTGCCCTCTTGTGCCCAGGTGCCCGGTTCCTGGCTGTGTGGGGCTTGGCCACATCAGTGGCAAGTATGCCTCACACAGGAGTGCATCCGGCTGCCCGCTAGCCGCCCGCAGGCAGAAAGAGGGGTCCCTCAATGGCTCATCATTTTCATGGAAGTCGCTGAAGAACGAGGGGCCCACGTGCCCCACGCCTGGCTGTGATGGCTCTGGCCATGCCAACGGAAGCTTCCTTACCCACCGGAGGTGACGTCCTGCAGGGTGGCCATACCTGGCCTGGGCTGTGGGGCAAGACCCCAGAAGGGAGCAGGCTTGGCTGGCAGTTTCTCAGGGGAAACTGACCCCAAGTGGACGAAGCCCCGGGGAAGTCTGGTGTCAGGCGGGCACGTGTGATATTTTCACCGTGTCTGTGGTGTGAGCCTCCCTTATATATACCCAATGTCTACCTACCTGGCCAGGTACTCTGGGACATGTTGAGGGGTGACACCCTCCTGCTCACCCTAGCCTGACAAGTGCTGTGCCCCCTCCCTGTGCAGGTTGGCATCTGGTCCCATCAGAAACCCTACATCTGGGCCAGGACACATTGGTCTTTTTTAAGCTTTACCTCTCTACCCACAAGACTGCCTAGCTTATTCCTTCAGCCAGCACTCAGGAGAGTCCCCTGCCCTCTGAGGACAGAGCCAAGAGCAAGCTACACCACCCTGCCCTGGTGGGTGCGTGCTCTGGCAGGGGCAGAGGCAGACAAGAAAGAGATGTAAGCATCTGTCCAGAAATGTGGTGACCTCACACGGGAACAGACCTGTGACCTTAGACCTGACCTGATCTGTGACCTCAGACCTGCCCTGACCTTTGACTTCAGATCTACCCTGACCTGTGACCTTTTGTTTCCAGCTTGTCTGGCTGTCCCAGAGCAACTTTTGCTGGAAAGAAGGGAAAACTCTCAGGGGACGAGGTGCTCAGCACCAAATTCAAGACAAGTGACGGTAAGCTGTCCCTTACTGTCCGTGGGGATTACTGTCCGTGGGGATGTCCATGTGTGTGAGACTGTGGGCATCAGTCCCAGTGCAGCAGCAGGAAGGGCTGGCTCAGAGACCCTGCCTCTGACGCCATGAAGCCCCTGGAGCAGCTGGGGCCTGGGGCCGGGGAGCCCTGGCAGCATAGGCAGCCTGCCCCCCACTGCAGAGATCCCTGGCCACTCCCGGTTGGCTGCAGCAGACAGGCTAAGGATGGTCAGCATGGTCTGCAAATTGGTCTGGTTTATCTCACGGAGTCCCACCTCCCCACGTGTGATGGGGGCAAGAGACCAATGATGAACACAGACCCGAGAGTCTCCCAAGGGGGACTTTTGGAGACTTCAGGTTCTTGATCCTGTTAGTATGTGGGCCTGTGAACTGGGGAGAAAGATGAGCAGGCCAGGAGTGGCAGACCCTGCTTGCTGTGGGGTGGTGGTCTGTGTTGCCTGCTGTGGCCCGCTGCCTGCTTAGGGCAGAAGGCAGTGCTGGGACTTTTTCTGCAGTGCTGGAGAACGACGAGGGAATCAAGCAGCTGAACAAAGAGATCCATGACCTCAGTGAGTCCAACTCGGAGATGGAGGCCGCCATGGTCAAGCTGCAGTCCCAGGTGGGCGCTGCAGCCTCAGGCCTGCCCTCAGCCCAGGTCCAGCTCCCAGGGACAGGTCTCAGTGACCTCCTCTCCTAGGAGGTGGGGAGAGAGGGCCCAGTCACTATTGTCCACACAACAGCCGGCTTTGCGTTGTGGTGGTAGCTGCACCCTCAGGGCCAGGAGCCAGCCAAGGTCAGTCCTGTGAGGGTCAGGACAAGAGTCCCCTCAGGGTCAGGAGTGCCGTCAGGGTCACCTTTGAGTTTCCAACTAAGAGTGTGCCTCTGGAGTCAGGTCCAGTTGCAGCCAGGCTTCCCACAGCGAACGTCACAGCCACCCCATTCCTTCGTCTCCAGCCCTGTTTGCCAGGCACGAGCATGCACAGGGAGTGTGTGTGTGTCTGCCACGTTTGCCTTCTTAAAGCTCTGAGTAGGGCCACTGTTGGTCTGTTCAGTGAGGGGAAACCCAGAGGTTGCCTCAACACCTCCACCAAAAAACCAAACCCACTGCCATCTTGAGTCAATTACAACTCATAATGACCCCTTTTGGGTTTCTGAGGCTATAAATCTTTACAGAAGTAGATTGCCCCATCTTCCTTCTGCAGAGTGGCTGTTGGATTTGAACCGCAAGCTTCTGCTTAGCAGTCAGATGCCTTCGGCACTGCGCCACCCGGGGTCCTTCCAACATCCCCAAGTGGGGCTCTTCTCCCATTTTGCTGACGAGGAGTGCAGAGCACAGCCACACAGTGGGGGTGCAAAGTCCAGCCCCACTAGCACTGGCCTAGCCATCTCAGCTGCCCCCACCCTCCACCCAGCACCCCAGGCCGATGCTGCCCCCTCACAGGCAGGAGCCCCAACACGCACGAGGCGGGTCCCACCTGCTCCCTGGCCCCTCGCGCTGAGACAGGAGGTGTGGCGGCAGAGGGCGTCCCTCCAGACTCTGCACTGCAGGGCAAGAGAGGGCTAGGCGCTGCCTGGAGGGTGCAGGCCCGTCTGTCTCTGCAGATCTCCTCCATGGAAAGGAACCTCAAGAACATCGAGGAGGAGAACAAGCTCATTGAGGAGCAGAACGAGGCGCTGTTCCTGGAGCTGTCTGGCCTGAGTCAGGCCCTCATCCGAAGTCTCGCCAACATCCGCCTCCCGCACATGGTAGGCAGCCAGGGCCTGCAGCCGAGCCCTGTCCCCGGGGTCCTGGGTCCAGGCCGGGGCCGCGCGGAGACTGCGGCCGCTAGGGGGCGCCCGGAGCCGCGCGCGTTCAGCGCGTCCCCCGCAGCCCGGCCGGCCCTGTGGGGCGGGAGCGCCAAGCCGGGCTTGGTGGCGCTGGCGCTGCTAACCCGGCTGCTTTCTTGGGCCCAGGAGCCAATCTGCGAGCAGAACTTCGACGCATACGTGAGCACCCTCACCGACATGTACAGCGACCAGGACTGCTACCGGAACCCCGAGAACAAGGCCCTGCTGGAGAGCATCAAGCAGGCCGTGCGGGGCATCCAGGTCTAGCGCTGGGCCCCGCGCCCCCGCGGCCCCGCGGCGCTCGGCCGGCGGCGGGGCGGCCTGCAGGTCGGGGCCACGGCCCCCAGGGTTCTCGGAACGGAATCTGGAGAGCAGTGCGACGTCCGCGGCGGAAAGCTGCGCGGAAAAGTTCTCAGGGAAGCTTCCGGAGTTGGCGGCCACAGTGTTCCTCGCCTGCAGCGGCTGGAGGGCGCCGGGCAGGCCCGCTGGGGGCGTCTGCCCGCGGCGGCTGCGCGTGCCTGTGTCTTTCGCAGTTTTGTTTGATTCAGTTTTGTGTTCAGGACGGAACGAGCCTGTCCCCGGGGAAGATTGGGGTGGGGCTCCCCGAGCCGCCAGGACCGCCGCCCCGGGCTCGGAGAGCTCGGAGGGCGCACGTGCGGAGCCGCCTGCCGCCCGGAGCGACGGTCCGGCAGAGCGCGCGAGCGGCCCTGCGTCAGACCCTGAGCAGTGACGGCGCTCGCCCTGACGCGGTTTGGGGCCGGGGTCACGGCCCAGGGGGGAACCACAAAGATTTCACTTGGTTTTTGATCCACTTAAGAGGGGGGGGAAAAAAATGAGAAAAAATAAGGCAAAATTTAATGTGTTAAAAACACAGTGTTCCTTCATGTAAATAGAGTCCAAATTGATTGTGACTGCAATTCCGAGTTAGTCTTTAAAAGTAGCGAAATTGCACTTCCTGGAAGAAATGAAAAGTAGTTAGTTTAATTATTCTGTAAATTATTTAATTTTGTCAAGATGTAACTATATTCACAACCGCCTATGTTAACGTTGGCTATTTATTTCACATTTTTATTTATTGATTTTATACTATTTTAACCAGACCCCACCCCAGGGCACCATGAGAGGGAAATGAATGGAATCAAAGGAAAAATCACTGACTATAAAGACAGGCCACAAAAAAAAAAAAAAAAAAAAAAAAAAATCTTGATATAACTTCTAGTTATAATTTTGATGCAACCAAGTTATTTTTATATATTTTGTTATTTATTCTTTTAATAATGGAATTTTTAAAAAAGTATTTTGTAACTGAGGAATTTTGATAATTTGGGGCTTTTCCCCTTGGCCCAATGGAGAGAGAGACTTTTTGGTTTGCTTTTTCCCTTCTGGGTTCCTTTTTCTGGCACCGATGGCAGGCTGGGGCTCTGTGTTCATTGTTTCTTTGCGTGTAGCGCTGCGGAGTGTGCGCTGGCGTGTCCTCGTGTGTGTTGGTTCTGTGATGACTGCGCCGTGTTTCTGTGAAGGAATACTGTCAACTGCAGTAACAGTGGCTTCCGCGTGGCGGCAGGCTACCCACCTGTTCTGACAGCTCTAATACTGTGACCCTCCTTCCTCAGGAAACGTGTTAAACCCAAGCACTTCATGATGTATTTGCAGGGTGATTTCCTAATAAAAGTCCACCTCTGATTGTGACCTTGGTGCTGTGGTCTGTTGTGAAGACGTGTCCCATTCTGCACAGAAGCCCAGCTCCTGTTCACCCTCCTGGGTGTGGGTGAGGTGAGGGTGAGAAGCCAAGCCCAGCATGGGTGTTGGGTCTGGTGGGCAGAGTAGCGTGACTCCTGTGAGCTCACATTGGGTTCTCCCAGATATTCCATGCAGTGGCCGCTTTTGTGCTTGGCCAATAGCTCCTTCCCGCTCTGTATGATTCCGGGGGTTCTAATTCACCGTACCTTGCCCCTTACCACACAACTCTTCCCCCCCAAAAAATACCAGAAGCCAAATTCACTTCTGTTGATTTGGTTCTGACTCATAGCGACCCCTCCTTTGGTTTCCAAGGTGGTATCTCTACTGAAGTAGGTTTGAAATGCCTACTTCAAATGCCTTAGGCACTATGACACCAGAGCTCCTACCACACAACTGGGCAGGTGCAAATCACAGTTCTTCCCACAGTATCTCTTGGAGTTGAGGAGGAATAACCTTTCTGCAGATTGTTGACCTGGGGGTGGTGCACAAGTTTGGAACTGAGGCTACTTGGGTAGCCTCTTTCCTGGCTGCCAGGAGGAAGCCACCTGCAGTGGGAGAGAGTGCAGACCTTCTGGAGGGAGGCAGAGATAAGAGATGGAGAGAGAAAGATGGGGTGGGAGGGGAGGAAGTGAGATCACTCTACTAGCATCCTCTGAGCTCCTAGACCCAGCCATGCCTGAATCCACCCACCTTTGGCAGTTATGTGCGGCAATAGATTCCTTGTATTTTATTTTTTTTTGCTGAAGCTGGTTTGAGTGGGCTCTTTGGCCTTTGAATGGAGCCCTACTGTATCCTGCTTGTTTCAGGTGGCGCTCTAGATCTCTTCAGATGAGGCTTTGGTTGAGGCTTCCAGTCAGACTCAGACATAAATGCCAAGACACCGCTTGCCCCTCTGAGAGGGTGTGTGGGCATGTCCTTCCCAATGGGAGCATCCAGCCAGGCCCTAACAATCAGTCTGACCACTTCCCTCCACCCAATGGGTCTTGCGCCTTTTCCAGTTGGAAGGTTTATGAGACCCCCTTGTCCATGCCAATAGAGAACTTGCCTTTTAAGGGAACCCCACTTGCCCCATCCGCCCGCTCCGTTCACCATGCCCCACTTCACCCCTCCTTGCACCTAGCCCCAAGCCCTCCCCACCCCGCTTCTTGCACACCCCAACCTCATCACCTTCCCTGGTTATCCCCGGTCCCTGCGTGGACAAGGTATTTGTCACACCCCCTCATAATTCAAAAGAGCAGCGGGTGGACGTCCACAGGTGCGCAAGCAGGTCACGTGTTCAGTGCTGCGTTCTCCGCAGCCTTGTCTTCACTTGGCTTCTTTACCAGGAGCCCTGGTGATGCCTTTAGACCCAGAGATGGCCCTTAGGTGGTTCTGTTCGAGGTCAAAGTCTGCACCCACCATCCCAGACTGTCCCTAAGTCTGCTGCCCAAGGGTTCTGGAATGCATGCCCCCAATCAGATTCCTCCCCCAGATTCCTCTGTCACATTTAGAGGAGACAGTGGGGACTGGCAGGGTGGGGGAGGGGGAGGAGGTGGAGTCCCAGATCCTGAGATGCGGGTGTCAGCTGTCCAGGGGCTTGCACCCTGTGTATCCTGTGGATGGACCTGTGAGTCCTGGGCTGACACCACTTTGTTAGGGCCTTTCACTGGCTGAGGTCCTGCTAACCTTTTATTTTGAGGTCCTGGGTGGATGAAAGGCTGGCAGTAGGAACTCACCCAGAAGTGCCTCAGAAGACAGCTCTGGTAATGTGTTTCAGAGAAAGTACAGCACTGCCAACCCTGTGGCGTGGGGGAGAGTCAGTCAATGGACAGCAACCAAGAACGTTTTAAGAGGAGAAATTAACTTAGAGACTTCTTCAATCACTTTACGGAAGTGAATATATTTGAGAACACCTGTGTTTTTAGATCTCTGGTGGCGTAGTGCCTAAGGCATTTGACTGCTAACCAGAAGGCTGGCAGTTCAAACTCACCAGCCACTCCTTGGAAGGAAGACTGGGCAATCTACTTCCATAGAGATACTGCCTCAGAAACCCAAGGAGGGGTTGCTATGAGTAGCAATCGACTTGATGGCTTTTTTTTTTTTTTTAAATAGTCACAAGTGTCCAAGCCCCTTCTCTTCCACCTTCTTCCAACAGCTCTGCAGTGGTGTCACCTTGTGGTAAATCTCACATCTTGTCATTGCTCTAAGCCTCAGCCAGCAAGGTCGCACCTGGCCCAGGTGCCACGCTGTTATTAGGGGTGTTGCTGCTCTGACAGCCCTGACAAGCTGACAGGTGTTTGCCACGTGAGTGGGTCTCAGAGGTCCAGGGCACTGAGTGTGGGTTTGAGACTTTCTCCTCCCAGGACTGCAAAGAGCATCCAGAGAAGATGGTAGAAAAGAGGAAGCAAAGATGAGGCTCTTGTTGCAAAAGGGCTGAGGGGGCTTTGGACAGCATTTAGGGGCTGAGTGTGGCGGAGGGCAGCAGCACACGGCAAACCCTCAGCCAACAGCACTGGGTCACAAATGAGTTTTGACCACTGCCGGGCAGGGCCAAGGGCTTAGAAGTGGTTTTCTCCTGGAGCTCAGGCTGCTGTTTGCAAAATGCTTGTTGTTGTTATTTGCCGTGGAGTCAGACCTGACTCATAGCGACCCCCCTCCTTGGCTTGCTGAGGCAGTATCACTACAGAAGTAGATTGCCCAACTTTCCTTCCGAGGAGTGGCTGGTGGGTTTGAACCGCCAGCCTTCTGGTTAGCGGTCAAGTGCCTTAGGCACTATGCTACCAGCGCTCCTTTGCAAAATGCTTGTTGTTGTTGTTGTTGTTATGTGCTGTCGAGTCAAACCCAACTCATAGCGACCCCTCCTTGGGTTTCCGAGGCAGTATCACTGCGGAAGTAGGATTGCCCAACCTTCCTTCCGAGGAGTGGCTGGTGGGTTTGAACCGCCAGCCATCTGGTTAGCAGGCAAGTGTCTTAGCCACTATGCTAAATAGGTTTGAATTGTGATTGCAAAAGCAATACTTGCCCATGGTAAAAACAATCTGACAGCACAGAGGTGATAAAGTTAGAGGTGGTATCCTCACCCAGAGCTGAGAAGCTGGGAGTGAGAAAATCATCTTGTATCCATGTTCACAAGTGTCCTTACAGCTTCCAACATCCTCTGCCTTTTGTGTAGATGTGGTACATGGTATCATTTGCTTTCTGCCTGCAAGACTTTAACATGTTATGTATTCTAAGTCTGCTGCTTGTGATTTTTTTAGCTTTTGTATGTCTGAAATAAAACTTTTTTTTTTTTCCTCAGTAGACTATTTTTTAAAGAAGTTTTGGGTTCCAGAAAGCTGGCAGAAAGCGGAGTTCCCACATGCCCCTACTACTGCCTCTAGTGTTCTTTGTATTAACTCTTTCATTCCTGTGGCACATTTGTTACCACAGAGGAAACAAAATTGATACATTTTTATTAACTTAAGCCCATAGTTTACATCTGGGTTCAATCTTGGTGTTGTACAGTCCTATGGGTGGGTTTTCTTTTCTTCTTCTTTTTGTGTGTGGTGAACATGTATGTAATGAGACATTTTGCATGTCAATGATCTTAGCATGTATATATAACTTAGTGGCATTCATGGTATTCGTCATGTTGTGTGATGATCATGATTGTCGTTTATAACTTTCCCATCACCCTTAACTGAAAGCAGCTCTTTGTCTCCTAAGCAGTGAGTCCCTCTCTCCTCCTTCCTGCCTGCCCTTGGTAACCACTGGTCACCTTAGATCTGCACGCATGTGCCTCATCTAGATACTTCACGTGCGTGGAATCATACTGTGTTTGCCCTTTTTGGAATCCTGTGGGTGTTGACAAATGTGTAATGGCCTGTGTAGTCCTCCAGGAGGGGGTCATACAGAGCAGCTTCACCACCTTGAAAGTGCCCTGTGCACCTCCTCTCATCCTTCCCCTACCCCGAGCCCCTGGCAACCACTAATCTTCCTACTTTCTTCTTAGAATGTCACAGAGGTGGACCCATGCAGTGTGCAGTCATTTCAGACCGGCTGCTAAATATGCATTCAAGGTCCCTCCACGTCTTTTTGTGCTTTGAGATCTCTTTTCTTTTTATTGTTGAGTAATGCTTTACTATATGCATGGACTTCCCTTTATTCATTCAGCTATTCAAAGGCATTTTGGTCACTTCCCATTTTTGGCAACTATGAATGGACCTGCTGTAAACGTTTGTGTATAGGGCATAAGCGTGGATATACATTTTTACCTTATTTGGGTAAATACTTAGGAGCATGATTGCGGAATGGTATGGTAACAAGGTATTTAGCTTTATAAGAAACTGCCGGATTGTCTCCACAAGTGGCTGCACCATTTTGCATTCCCACCAGCAGTGAAGGAGACTTCCTATTGGTCTATTCTCCAACAGCATTCCACATTGTCAGTGTTGTGGGTTTTATGTTCTAATAGGTGCGTGAACTCTACGAGACTAACGACACAATAGGTGTGCAGTGCAACACTCTTGTTTTAGTGTGTCATTTCCTAATGGCACCATAGGTCCCTAATGACATCTGATGTGGGGCATCTTTTCAAATGCCATCAAAATTTCAAATTTGCCATCTTTCTTCTTAGATGAGGTGTCTGTTCAGGTCTTGGGCTCATTTTAAAGTCTCAAAAAACCTTTACAAATCAACCTTAATTCCATTTAGGTAAAATGGAGTTCTAAAACAAAGCACACCTATTAGGGAATTCTTCCTCTCTTGTAATGATTAATTAAGAGCAGAATGTCAATTCTGCCAAGTGTCACAAGAGAAGGATGCGCACCGAATATCTTGCCTGGCTCCGGGCCTAGGCCGCTGGAGCTGGATGCGTTATAACATAGACCCCTCGCAGCCGCCCAGATGCAACCTGTCCCGCGTGGACACACCTGCCCGGCGTCCCAGGAGTGGCCTCCAGGAGGCACAAGGTCTTTGTGGCCCGTCCGGAGGCTTTACACTACTAAGCCCCGCCCACGCTCCTTGGAAAGCCCAGGCAGCTTAGCATACAGGCCATCGCACTCTCTTTCCCCTGTGTTGCACGCGCTCCTCTTCCCCTCGCCCTACTAAGTCAGGGACCCCCACATACCCCGGCCCTGTTCCCGAGCGGAAGGTTGACGGCCACCCACTCCGGACCCACTAGGCGGCGCTAACGCCCCTTTCGGCGCGGCGCGCGGCGCGCAGGCGCAGTGGGAGCCGCTGCGCGCGCAAGCGCGGCGGCGGCGGCGGCGGCGGATGTTTACAGCTGAGCAGGCCGCAGCTCGGGCGGCCGAGCGGTCAGCTGAGCGAGAACTCCGGGAGCGCCAGGCCTCGACCCCGGCGGCCCGTCTTGCGGCCGGCCGCTCCTGGAGGTAGCGTCGTCGCCCCTCGGGCCCGATCTGGGGCGGGCGGCGTCTCCGGTCCTGTCCCGGTTCCCGGGGGCATCTGCCTCCGACCCAAACCGCCTCACCTCCGCTTCCTGCCCCTCTCCCCGGGGACGTACCCCCAACTTCGCGCCGCTCTTCGGCCGCCTCCCGGGGCTGCTGCATTCTCTGGACCCCTCGGAGCAGGCCTGTCCGTGCCCGTTGCTCGCCCCGTGGACCGACCGGTTTCCCAATGGCAGGCCGTTCCGACCTTCTGGTTAGGAAGGCAGGTCCGGAGCGGACGACTGGAGGACAAGGTCTGCCCTGGCCTGTGTTCAGAAGCCGGCGGAGTCCCAGGCTCGGGGGTTCGAGGTCGGCGCAGGGCGTCGGACGGGGTCTCCAGCGCATGTGTGTGTGTGTGGGGGGCAGCCTTGAAGCCCTCGCCTTGGTGCCTGTGGGCGCGTCACCCCGCGGAGGGGCCGTCTGACTGGGGTGCCAAGCAGTGGCTCAAGGAAAGAGCTCCACTCCGGGTGTACCTTAGAGCGTCACCGCAGAATTGGCGAGGGCATGTCTGCAGAGGACTTGGGGATTGTGGTGGTTGGGCTCGGGGCACGTGGCCAACATTCCTGCCCCAGGCTTGGATCCCGCACCCTGAGAAGGCTCACTGCATTATTTGCAGCTCGTTGTTAAAAGGGGTTTTTGTGTTGAGTAGAATTGTCTGCGTCTAACTGCACCCCCTTGGTTCTGCCCTCCCAGAAATAGCAAGTCAGCAGAACCTCCAGCCAGCCTTGCAAACATCTGCAAAAATCCAGGCTGATTCCTTGCGAAGTTCTGCTTTCCAGGTTAGAGGTCCCGCTGCCAGGCTGCCTCTTGGGCTGGGCTTCTTTTCAGTGACCCCCAGATGGGGCCATGCCCCCAGCCCTATCCTGGCTTCCAGCTGGTGTTGGCAGGGAAGCACGCCTCCCTACACCCTGCAGTCGTGAGGCCTCCTCTTCTGCAGCTCCTCAGGCAGCGAGGTTGTGGCCCTGGGCTGAATTGCATTAGGTTTGCAAAGTGGACTGTGTGTCTGAAAGTCAAGAGCCACTTCCGGGTTACTGTATCTGGAGTCTAGGTGAAAGTGATAGGATTTAGTTTGGCAAGGGCATCTGTGGGTCTTTTGCTGGCTTTACCACCTGTCACATCTGAGGTGGGCAGCGTTCATGAGCACCCCACTGGAGGCTGTTATCCTGGTTATGGGTTCACGTTGTGGTATCAACAGATAGCCAGTGTGTGTTTTTCTCATGTGAGAACTTTTAAGGCTGCATTTTGGTAGGAAGAACACAGGCCTGTGGATGTGAATTCCAGCCCCGCCTGGCCATGTGACCATGAGCACAGTGACCTCTCAGCCGGTTTGACTCATTATGTCATAGCCTAATTGAGGATGTGACTGGCAGGTACCAGTTGCTGTGGAGTCTATTCCAACTCGTGATGACCCCATCTGTCCCAGAGTGGAACTGCACATTGGAAGGTTTTTGATGGCTGTCATCTTTCCAAGTGGTGGCCAGCTTTTCTTCCTTGGTGCCTTTGAGTGGATTCAAACTGCCAACCTTTTGGTCAGTAGCTGAGTGTTTAACTCTTTGTGCCACCCAAAGCAAGCCTTTGGATATGTAATGAACTTTCCAAGTGAGGATAAGTTCAAAATAAGCAGTAGGTGCTGAGTAGAGAATGCAGCCTGCCCAGTGTCTGATTTGTGTTGACCTTACACAGAACTGTGGTGTGGAAGGACAGTGGTAGATGTTCTGTGCGCAGTGTATACAGACTTCTGGGTGAGTGATTTTAGACCCTTGAACACCCAAGCTTGTGACTCCACTTCTAAACAGTGACCCACATTTTAGGTGACTGTCCTAGGCTTTAGCTCGGGACTCAGTGGCTTATCCAGATTAAACTTGGCCTCATTAACACTTATCTGTCCAGCTGCATTAACTGACCATGGACTGTAATATAATAAGGGCTCTGAGACTGTTGAAAAAGGGAGGGAGAAATCAATTGGCCATTGCAGTGATCCGAGAAGCCTAGTATTCAAGTCTAAAGCTCTGGTTATGAAGGTTGACTGTACTGATGTCCCGTCAAAGGGAAAAGCACCGTGTTAACCCCCTTCAGACATGTTATTTACTTATTGTAAGAGGCATAATTGCCAGTTGTGAGTGTGTGTGGCTGTCTGTGGTAGCTCTCCTGATTCTCATTCAGCTGTTGAAACCCAGAGGCTTGTGAGAGCAAAGCAAATGCTTCAGTGGGGGAAGGCTGATTCCGAGCGAATCATTGCTCACAGTCTGGCAGGTTTTCCCAGCACAACTTCTGTGGGTCAGGTAAAGCAGTCCTGGGACAGGTGTGTAGCCTTGGGGGTGTTCCCCTGTGGAGTGTGAGAAGGGGCACTGCCTTCAAGCAGTGGGCTCAGAGGGACGGGCTGTGCTTGGAAGGGCATAGAAATGTGCCTCCCGTTGGTGTAGAGCAGGAAGGCTGCAGAGTGCATGCTGTAGAAGGGGCGTTGGGGGTTCTAGAGGCAGCTTCTCTGACCTAAGGTTTACCTTGAGATAAGAAAGTATTTGTCACAATGTGTTCTGTTTGGAAGACTGTTTTGTTGATGTTGTTTTTGCCTAAAATTTTATTATCAAAATACACCATCACAAAACCGATTGGATTATTTGACTGAGGGGTGTGGGTGAAGTTTGTGTGCGTTTGGGGATGTAGCTTTGCCAGATACAATATAGAACACCAGTTAAATTGGAATGTCAAGTCAACAACAACAAGTAAGTTTTTAGTATTTGTCGTCTAACTGACAACAAATTAAACTGGAAATTTGCTTTTCCCCTGAATCTGGTTTCCCTAGGGAATGAGGTGGGTGGTGTTGACAGAACATCCCCATCTGTATTCTTTTCAGAGTCGGAATCTGGGATGAGTGTTTGGTTCTGCACCTGCCCTAACCTTCACACCATGTGCTCTTTCCCCGCTCTTGCTGTCCTAGTGCTGCTGCGTGTCGCCCTGAGGATGGGAGGTGCTGTGAGTGCCGGGGAGGACAACGACGAGCTCATTGACAACCTGAAGGAGGCCCAGTACATCCGCACGGAGCTGGTGGAGCAGGCGTTCCGTGCTGTCGACCGTGCAGACTATTACCTTGACGAGTTTAAGGAAAACGCGTACAAGGACCTGGCATGGAAGCACGGGAACATCCACCTGTCTGCCCCGTGCATCTACTCGGAGGTGATGGAAGCCCTGGACCTGCAGCCTGGCCTCTCCTTCCTAAATCTAGGCAGTGGCACTGGCTACCTCAGCTCCATGGTCGGGCTCATCCTAGGTAAATCTGGAAGGAGGACCGAGGCCCTGCTGGGGAGCTTTGTGTCTGCACAGCTCAGGGCTGTCTCCTTCCTGGAGAAATGCGGTCTGTCACCATGGACCCTCTGTGGGTGGGGTCGAGGCCCCTGGTGTCGGCACTGTGCGCATGTGGCCCTGGGTGGTAGATGGAGGGATGGCATGTTTTCTAGAGGGTTTACTCCTTCCCCTGTCCTCCCCACGCCTCTCCTGTGCACTGCCATCTGCACCCCACAGGCAGCTCAGCACACTGAGGGTCTGCTCCTGAGGGGTGACGGGCCCAGCGGATCTGTGTGCCCTGACCTCAGTGTGCCCCCCATTCAGTTTCTTCCCTGGACCTGCCTCCTCACTCCATCTCTACGGTGACGACACTGGGAGTCCGAGTTCTTCTGGGCAGTTGTTTGGTTTTTGTTTTAACACTAAAAGAAGAGTAATAACTATGCTATTATTTATGTCAAAGATGAAAGGGATTTTGAAACTTATCTTACCTGAAGGTTTTTAGTTGATTTTCATAACTAGGTTGTGATACTGTCCCTGGGAATATGGTCATTTTTATCCGTAATGAAGGCAGTGTGAGATAACTCAGAATCTCTCCCTGGGAATATGGTCAATTTTATCCGTAATTAAGGCAGTGTGAGATAACTCAGAATCTGTCGTGTTCCCGCTTTTTGTTAAGTGTTCTGGTTGGGAAAGGCGCCCCTTTTACTCGGAGGGCGACACACTGGTGCTGACAGGAGGGACGGGTGCTGGGTTGTGTCCTGCCAGCTCCCTTCTAAGGAGGCAGGCACAGAGGCTGCTGCGGTTGGGATGGGCTCCTCAGACCAGAGGTGGCTGTAGTGTAGCTGGCGCCAAGTGGCTAGGGTCTGTGCAATTTTTTTTTTTTTTTTTAAATTGTGATTTGGGTAAAGATTTACAGAGCAGATTCACTTTCCATACTTTGCATTTTTTTAAAAAAATAATTTTCTTTTTTTTTAAATTGAGAACATATGCAGCAAAATACACACAAATCCACCAGTTTGTGTTTGTACCATGTAGTGACACAGATTGCGTTGGAACTACGTAATCATTTTATCCAGCTCTTCTGAGTTGTATTTTCCCTATTAACATAAACTCACTGTTCTTGCAGCTTCCTGTCTAGTCTTTCAAGTTGCTTGTAAGTTTGATCCCATGTAGTTAGTTCTTAAAAGAGTGTAATGGTCAAGACTGACCATTTGTGTACTGTTGTTGTCGTTGTTGTTACGTGCCATCGAGTCAGCTGCCACTCATCGCAACCCCTCCTTGGGTTTCCCAGGCAGTATCACTTTGGAAGTAGATTGCCCAACCTTTCTTCTGAGGAGTGGCTTGTGGATTTGAACCACCAGCCTTCTGATTTGCAGTCAGGTGCCTTAGGCACTGTGCTACCAAGTTCCCAATTTGTTTACTAGTGAAGCTAAACTATTGTATAAGAAGACTTCAGGGAATATTTTTGGTTTAATATTTAAAGATTATCTCAAGGCAGTAGTTTCAGGAGTTCATCCAACTTTCATGGCTCCAGGACATCTGGAGTCCATGAGAACTTAAAATTCTGTTCTGCATTTTCCCCTTTTGATCAGGATTATTCTATGGCATCTTTGAATAAAATGTTCATTAATGGTAGCTGGGCACCATCCAGTTCTTCTGGTCTCCTGGCAAAAGAGATAGTTGCTCATGGAGGCAGCCACCATTCCACATCCTTCTCCTGTTCCTCACTCTCCACCTTTCTCTGTTGCTTCAGGTCGATGCCAATTGTTGTGCCTTAAATGCTGCTTGCAAACTTTTGAGGCCTCAGGCTCTACACAGTGAACTAGGAGGTAGAGCAGAACACTAAATTAGGCCCATTAACTGGAATGTCCCATGAAACATGACCCTAAATCTACAAACCAAACAACAAATTCCATCAGGTGTTTGGTTAGACATAATCAGCCTCAGCAGCTACTTTTCTTTATTTTAAGTCATTGTAAATATATCTATCATACAGCTTTTGCCAGTTCAACTTTCTGCAGGTGTACAGTTTATTGACAGCATTTATAATAATTAGCTGTGCAACCCCACCCTTAATGCAGTATTTCCATCACTCTTCACCCCCTTTTTCCCCCTTCCTCTCTCTCCTGGTAACCAGTAAGAACTTTTGTTCTTTGCATTTGCTGTTTCTTGTCTTTCTGTGTAAGTGAGGTCATACAGTATTTGCCCTTTTGTGATTGACTTATTTCACTCAGCAAAATGTCTTCAAGCTCCATTCATGCTGTACTATGTATGTTCATTCGTCTTACTAGGTGAATAATATTCTACTGCATGTGTGTAACACATTTATCCATTCATATGTTGGTGAGCATTTAGGTTATCTCCACCTTTCAGCTCTTGTGAATAGTGCTGTCTCTGTCTGAGTCCCTGCTTTCAAGCCTTTGCCTTTCCATGAGCAATGGGTAAGCGGTCCAGTTTGCCACATCCTCACCAACATTTGTTATTTTCTTTCTTTCTTTTTTTTTTTAAATCTTAACCATCCTTCAAAAGAACCAAAACTAAACTCATTTCCATTGAATCGAGTCTGACACATAGCAACTCTTACTGGGTTTCCAAGTCTGTAAATCTTTATGGAAGAAGACTGCCCCATCTTCCTTTCACAGAGCAGCTGGTAGGTTTGAACCACTGACCTTTGGTTAGCAGCCAAATGCCTTAACCACTATATCACTAAAGCTGCTTTTAGCCATCCTAGTGGGAATGAAACACTATCTCATTGGGGTTTTGATCTGCATCTCTCTTATGACTGTTGATGCTGAGCACCTTTCCATCTGTTTAGTGGCCATTTGAATGTCCTCATGTCCTCCAGTGAAATGCCTATGCAAGTCCTTGGTCCATTTTATGATTGAGTTACTTACCGTTTTATTGTTAAGTCATTGAAGTTATACGTATCTTTTGTTATTAGATTCTTGTCAGATCTTTGGTTTCCAAAGATACTCTCATTGTCAGTAGCTTGTCTTTTCACTTTTTAGGTAAAGTCCTTTGATGAACAGAAGTTTTTAATTTTTGTGATGTCCATTTGTTTATTTCGTCTTTTGCTATTTGTACTTTTGTTATATTAGATAATCCATTGTTAAAAACTAGGCCCCACAGCTTTGCTCCTGCCTTTTTGTCTAAGAATTTTATAGCTTTAGTCCTTAATCCATTTTTAATTAGTTTTTTGTGTGGTGTGTAACATGGATCCTATTTCATTTTTCTGTATTTGGAAATGGAATTTTCTCTACACTATTGAAGAAACTTTCCTTCTCCATTGAATGAACTTAGCACTCTTATCAAAAACCAGTTGCCCACAGATGTGTGGGCTTATTTCTGGACTCTAATTCTATTCCATTGGTCTTTGTGTCTCTTGGTATACCAGTACCAGGCTGTTCTGATTACTGTAGCTGTATAGTACATTTTAAAATCCGGAAGTGTGAGTCCTCCGACTTTGTTCTTTTCTTTCACCATTGTTTTAGCTATTTGGGTCCTCTTGCCATTCCGTATAAAGTTGAGGATTGTTTTTTGATTTCTGTAAAGAAGTCTGTTAGAATTTTGATTGGGATTGTGTTGAATCTGTAGATTGCTTTGGGTGATACTGATATCTTAATAATATTATGTCTTCCAATCCCTAAACATAGAACATCTGTCTATTTGTTTAAGTCTTCTTTAATCTGTAGTTTCCATTGTATAAGTCCTTCACTTTCCTGGTTAGATTTATTCTTAGGTATTTTATTCTCTTGTTGTTGTTTTTGCTGTCGAGTTCGACCCGACTCACAGCGACCCCTCCTTGGGTTTCCGAGGCAGTATCACTATGGAAGTAGATTGCCCAACCTTTCTTCCGAGGAGTGGCTGGTGAGTTTGAACCGCCAGCCTTCTGGTCAGCAGTCAAGTGTCTTAGGCACTACGCTACCAGAGCTCCTTTTTATTCTCTTAGATGCTGTTATAAATGGAATTGTTTCCCTTTCAGATTTCTTATTGCTGGTATCTAGAAATGCAGCTGATTTTGGTTTGTTTACCTTGTATCCTGCAACTTTGCTGAATTCCTCTAATAGCTCTGGAATTTTCTTGGGGACTCTTTGGGATTTTCTTTATTTAGGGTTATGTCATTCATGAGTAGAAATAATTTTACTCCTTCTCTCCCAGTCTGGATCCCTTTAACTTCTTACCTTACTGCTCTGGCTAGGACTTCTAATACAATATTGAATAGAAGTGGTGAATCTGGACACCTGTGTCTTCTTACTGAGTTCAAGGGGAAAGCTCTCAGTCTTCCTCCATTAAGTATAATGTTGGCTGTGGGATTTTCATATATGCCCTGAATCATACTGAAGAATTTCTCTTCTCTTCCAGTCTTCTTGAGGATTTTCATCACAAAGGCTTTTATCAGAAGCATTCTTTGCATGCGTAGAGGTGATCATGTGGTTCTTTCTCTTTGTTTTATTGATGTAGTATGTTATATTGGTTGGTTTTCTAATGCTGAGCCGCCCCTGCATTCCTGGAAGGAAGCCCCCTTGGTGGTCCTGCTGTATGACTCTCTTCATATGCTGTTACATGCTATTTGCTAGTATTTGGTTGAGGAATTTGGCATCTACGTTCATAAGAGTTATTGGCCTGTAGATTTCTTGTGGTGTCTGTCTGGTTTGGGTATCAGGGTTATGTCTGCTTCATGGAATGAATTAGGGAGTATATCTTCCTTCTCTTTCTTTGGGAAGCGTTTAAACAGCATTGGTGTCAATTCTTCTTTAAATGTTTGGTTGGATTCCCCAGTGAAGCTTTTTGGTCTGGGATTGTTTTGTGTTGTTGTTGGGATTTTTTTTTTTCACTTCGTTCCTTTGTTTCCCATTTCCATCCATCCTTCTACCCTCTGAGCTTTGGGAAAATACTGCCCTTTTGTTCTCATGGTTGATTGTTCTAAGGTGTATACACCTTTCTGGTGTTACTGACCACTTTATCGGCCTGTCTGTTATTTGGTGA